GGCCTGAGGGGACGGGTGGGTGGACATGCAGCTGAGCGGGTGGCTTGGGGGAGGTAACAAGTGGTCGCTGGTTGAACGACGGGCTGATGCCCCTCTCAAGCGCTTGAACGGCCTCTGATCAGTATGCAACATCAGAGAACGTTTAGTGGGAGCTGGCTTCCACCCTTTGGCACCAAAATCACCCTGCCTGCAAACCCATCCAAATCCATGGTGCAGAATCAACAGTGCACGTATTCCAAGGAGACCGGCCAGCTGGTGGGGACGGGCTGGGCCGCCCTGCTGGGCGTCGCAGTGGGCACCACCTTCATGGGCCCCTGCCCGAAGCCCGCTGCGGCCCCCCAGCCGCCCGGCGGCGCCGCCCCGGACGCCGCCGGCGCGGCGGCGCTGGTGCCGCAGGTGCCGGCCGCGCCCGTCGGGGCGAGGCTGTCCGCAGCGATCGCGTCGCCGGCGGGCCTCGTCAAAACGAGCGGCGACGCGCCGGCCACGATCCTGCTCGACGCCGCCGGCACGACCGCAGCGGCACGGCGCCCCGTCGCCTCGTACACGTGGACGATCTCGTCCGCCTCGGACAGATCTATAATCACCACGATCTCCGGCCCCAAGGCGTCCCTCGAGCTGCCGCCGGGCGCCTACTCTGCCAGCCTCGTCGTCCGGGACGCACTGGGGTTCAATTCCACCGCGGATCGGGCTTTTGTGGTCGGGGACAGGGCAGCGACCGTCGCCGCCATCGCTTCGCCTAGAGACGTGGAGCCCGCATCTGCCGCGGGCGCGCCGGACGGCTCCGCGGCGGCGCGCGTGGCGCTGTCCGCGACGGGGTCGGGGGCGGGGCCCGGGCTGTACTTGGTGTCTGTGGCGTGGCTGGTGCAGCGGCTGCCGGGCCTGGAGGTTGTGGCGAGCCCGACAGGGACTATTGCCTACGTCACGCTCCCCGTGGTGAGCTGGCTGTGAATGGAACAATTTTTGTTGTTGGATCATGGTCTGCCTGTGGATGGTGGGGCCGCACGTCTGGTAGCCGCGGGATTCTGCTTTGGGGCTCGGTTGACGTAGTCGTGTGCTGCCCCTCCAGTACGCAGCAACCCCCTCTGGACGTTAAAGCCCAATCTGCCCCGCCCTTGCTTCCAAACAATCCACCTTGACCTCCCTCACACCCGCTGTCCATTACCAACAGGGCTCTTACATTGCTTATGTGAGAGTATTCGACTCAGAGGGCCGCACAGCCACAGCCAGCAAGCCCTTTACAATTGGCGTCCCCAGCGCCACCGCCCCCGCCTCGGGCGCGCGCCCCACCCTCGCCGTGATCAACCGCCCAGCGCCGCTCGAGGCGGCCGTCAGGGCGTCCAAGGGCGGCGCGTCGGCGACGATAACCTTGGACGCCACGGGGTCGGCGGCGGCGCAGGGGTCTCAGATCAAGAGTTACACCTGGGGTGTGGTGACGCTGCCAGACCGCGTGCCGGTGGCGAGCACGCAGGGGCAGGTGGCTGAGGTGCAGATTGCACCTGGAAAGTATCAGGTGAATGCTGGTTTTGATCCCAATGCTCGTGGGTTGACATATTAGCCGCCAATACACGCTGATGTCCACACGTTTGCAAATGCACGATGCAAGCGTGCAGAGCGCATAGCTGCGCGGCCACGCCGTGTCACACCCCATGCAAGAGCCACGAGGCTGTGGAATCGCATCAGCTATCCATCATATTGCAGAACGGCTGGTGCTAAGCCTTGGCCCCTCTTAATCACCCCGCCACGCTGCGCGTTCACCCCTCGCAACATTCAGGTCGGCCTGCTGATTGCAGACACCTCGGGCGCCATCGCCACCGCCAAGAAGACTTTCACCGTCGAGGCAGCGCCGGCTCCCTCCCCAGCGCCTGCACCCGTCCGGGTGCCACCGGCGGTCACGCAGCCAGCTGTTGCGAGCGGCGAGCGGCCAGCTGGCGGGGGCGGCGGCAACCAAGCGCCGGTGGTGCGGCCCGACCTCTCGTTTGTTGGCTTCTCAGGCGGGGCAGTCAGCATCGCCGGCTCGACCTCGGACCCTGACGGCGACAGTCTCGAAATCCGCACCACCATCATCGCCGGCACGAAGAGCGGCCCTGCAGCCGCCGCAGCCGCGGCCGCCGCAGCCGCGGGGGGCGGCGCGGACGACGGGGCCGCGTCTCCGCCGGAGGTCGTGGAGGGCTCGGGCGAGATGGTCTCGCTGGCGGGAATCCCCGCGGGCGATTATACGCTACTGATCACGGCAAACGACGGCAAAGGCGGCGTCGCCGCCGGCGTCGCAAGCGTCAAGGTCTTCCCCGCTGACCTGATGGCCGTCGCCGCCGCCGCCGAGGCGTCCGACGCCGGCGCGAACAGCACGCACGCCCCTGCGGGGGCGGCGCCGGTGCGCGGCGGCGCGCACGAGGGGGCGGAGCCGGCCGGCGGGGGTGCGGCGGGGGCCGCTGCAACGCTGGATCAGGTACATGGTATGGTCGCTGATGCACATGGTGTCAGCAAGCCTTTGCCTGTGGAAGAGGTTGTTGAGCCGGCGATCGAGGAAGCGGCGGAGGGAGCCGCGGCAGCGGCGACGGCCGCGCCCCCTCGCGAGGCCGCACCGCTGCCGGCGGCGGGGGTGGCGACGGGTGCGGCGCACGAGGCGGGGCTGGCGCCTGTGTTTCCAGAGTCATGGGCGGCGGGTACAGCGGCCAAGCCGGCACCGGCGCCAGCGCTTGTAGTGCCGCTGGCAGTACCCATAGTGGTCGTGGCAACTCAAAAGCAAGCCGCTGTGGTCCTGCCTGCAGCAAGCACGGTGATAGGACCCGCGGAATCGCCTGCGTCACCACCCAAAACGACTCCAGCAGCACCCACCGCCGACGCCCCTGCTGCTGCCAAGCCAGCTGGTGCACCAGGGACGCCTGCGGTGGAGGCGAAGCCGCCAGCCGCCTTGGCGCCACAAGCAGCACCGACGCCAGCCGCCACCGTCCTCATCGGGCCGTCTGCGCTGGGGGTCTCTACAAAGCCACCTGCGCTTACGTTGCCCAAGGGCAAGGTACCCACCCTGCTCACGGCGTTCCTTTCGACCCTGTCGCCGGTGCCAATGCCGACAACGCAGCGAACAGACCTGCCGCAATTGCTGTTGCCTCAGCAGCCGCATCTGGATGCGCCGCCAGCGCCGGCGCCGGCGCCGGCGTCATCACCATCCCCATCGCCGGCGCCGGCGCCACCGGCTTCAAAGCCGGCTGCGGCCAGCGGTGGGGCGCATTCAGCGCAGCAGCAGCCGCAGCAGCAGCCGCAGCAGCAGCCGCAGCAGCAGCAGCCGCAGCAGCAGCCGCAGCAGCAGCAGCCACCGCAGCAGCAGCATCAGGCGCAGCACCCGCCGCAGCAGCAGCCACCGCAGCAGCAGCCACCACAGCAGCAGCCACCGCAGCAGCAACAGCAGCAGCAGCAGCAGCAGCAGCAGCACCTCGCCGCGCCGGCGGTGGCAGCGGCTCCGATCCCAGGCCAGCGCGCCTTGCGCCTGCCATCGATGGCGTTGGGCCAGGGCACAACTCTGCGCGTGGACGCAGCGGCCTCAGGGTTGCTCCCTGTGGCGCCGCACACAAGCAGCCGCAGCAGCGAGGGCAGCGGCGGCGGCGACCCGCAGCCTTGGCAGGCGGCGGCAGAAGGCAGCAAGTGGGAGCTGACAAATTCGCTCACCGGGCAACGGGTGGCGGAGGCGGCCGGCGCCTCGGCGACCTTCCAGCTTTCAACCCCCGGCGCCTTTCAATTGCGGCTGGTGGCGCCTGCAAACGCGAGCGCCCCGGCCTCAAAGGGCCCACAGGCCGGCCCAGTGCCGGCCCCGGCCAGCACAAGCGGGTCATCAATGCTCATTGTTGTCCCTCGTTTAGGATGGGACAGCGCCAGCGGCGCGAGCAGGGGCTTTGTGTCCGGCTCGTGCGCGGCCCCAAGCGGCCGGGAGCTGTCGCGCGTCATCCTGGACTGCTCGAACCTGACCGTGACGCCGCCCCCGGCCGCGCCCCGAGATCTGCAGTTCGCATGGCGGATCTCCTCGGCGGACGCAGGGACAGCGGTCGCGACGGCGCTCGGGCGCACCCCGAAGACGGGGGCGCTGCCGGTTGGGCTTTACATGGTGGAGCTTGCCGTCACCGCCGGCGCCGGCCCGCCGGGCGCGAACAACACGCTATACTTCTGGACCACCCTGCTGGACGTCGCACCGGCGCCGCCGGCGCCCCTGGCGCTCGAGCTCGCCGCGCCGGAGCCCGCCTGCGCCGGCGGCGCGGCGGAGGTGCGCGCGCCGGCGGCGGCGGCGCTGCCGGCCGGGCACAAGGTGGCGCGATACGAGTGGACCGCCCGCTGGGCCGACGCGCCGCCCGCAGCGGCGGCAGGGAAGCAGCCGGCGGGCGGCGTCGCGGCGGCGGGGGCCGCGGGGGGACGGGTGATCGTGGGGAGCGGGCCCGCCCTCAAATGGACCCTCCAGCCTGGCAGGACAGACGTTGAGCTGGCCATGTCTGTCGTGGATTCCAAGGGTGCCGAGCAGCCGAGGGTGGTCCTGTCGACCGCGGTCGTCGGCCGCCCCTGCGTGGCCTGCTCCCAGGCGCCGGTGACACTCTTCGCGTCGCCAGCGAAGTGCGCGGCGATCAATTCCACCAGCATCGCCGCGCGGCTGCTGCACAGCGGGCGCGCGCCGAGGGACGGCGTGCAGCTGTCCTTCGCGCCCGGCACGCCGCTCGAGCCCGGCACGCGCGGCATGACGGTGACCGCGGTCACGCCCGTGTCCAAGGTTACAGCGTCGTGCTCTGCGCCGGCGGTGACTGTCAGGGACTCGACGGCGCCCATCGTAAAGCCGCGCGCGCCGCGCGGCGTCTGCGCGTCGCCGGTGAGCTGGCGCTCCACTGCGCCGCGGTGGGCGTGCTGGCGGCTCGCCGAGCTGGTCACCGTCACAGACAACTGCGAGGATGCCGCGCCGATGGCGTTCATGGTCAAGTGCGCGAGCGGCGGCGCCGCCGCCGCCGCCCTGCCCGCGGCGGACTGCGCGGCGCTGCCGGACGGCCGCGTGTGCGTGCGCGCCGGCGGCGGCGGCGGCGCGGCGAAGAGTCTGGCGGGCGGGTTCGTCGTAAACGTCAAGGACGGTTACGGCAACGTGGCACACCCGGTGACGGTGGCGGTGACGGTGCACACTCGGGCCACCAGGGGGTGCCACGCGGCCACCCTTGTCGACCTAGGGGGCAACGCCGGCTGATAAGCAAGCCCGTTGTCCTCGCGCCTCCCGGCTCCCCCCTTGTGCGCGCACGGCGATCAGCATGGACGTGCGCCCCGCTGGCCTCCTGCACGCTAGGTCTGATGGCCACGATTCCCGGGCGGGCGCTTTCCCTTACGCAAGTCAGTTCCAGCCAGCAGGCACGATTGCCCCACTCATACCTTGCAGCCTTGGCTACTGGCTCCACCTTTGGGGCAGCGCCGCAGAAACCCTATGTTTTTGTTGATTGTTGTGTTTCAAACTCCTTTTCGCAGCATGCAGTTCCACCGTCGCGGCCCGGCGCGTATCGGTGGCCCCTCCCTTTCCTTGAATAAGGCAGCCGCCTGGCCGCCTGCGCGCGTGCTCGAAGCCGTTTCAAGGCGTGACAGCCTCTGATCTCAGCACAGGTGCCCCGTGAGCATGCGTGCTTGCAGGCGACCACGCACCCGCACATGCAGCCCCTTGGTGCGCAGCCGGCGCGCAGCACGCACCGCGCGGCGCGCGGCAGCCGGCGTCCGTGCGTGCGCTGCATCTCCTGGCGCGGACGCGACACAGCTGAACTGGTGCTACATGAGCAAATGCACCCTTGTCTCCTCAGTATGGCGTATTTTCCAAAAAACCTGACTTGTCCTAGTTAAGCAGTGTGCGGGCTGCAAACCACCACTCCACTTCAAGGCCCTTTGAAGCCAACCAATCCCCGCACACGCACAACTCCCTCTGCCAGACACCTCCGTGCGCCCAGCCCCCGCACTTGCCGTTGCGATGCCCTCACTGCCCTACGCCTGCAAAGGCATCTGCTGTCATGCCCTGGTTGCTGCTTCCGGCTGGGAGGGCTTTGGGCGTCCACCTTCTTGCTTCCACTCTCTGCTGCACCAAACCTTGCGCAGCGAGGGTGCGTATCCTGTTTTGGGGTTACGGCGCACCGGCAGCGCCAACCGACATTGCGTTGATCACTGGGTATGGGAGGGGGCACAGCACTCCTGGCGCCAGCGACAATGGCTGGTGCAAACCGCGCGCGTTGCACGCTCCCTGCACTCGTCAAATTACGACGCGCCAGCAATGACGAATTCCTTCAAGTGCATGCGGTCATGCTACTACAAGGGTTTGGCTTGTGAAGTAACGCTGCAATCAAAGCCGCCGCATCCCCTGATATGTATAGTTTTGCATCCAGTGCGACCTGCCACTCATCCAGGCCAGGCCCCGAGGGCAGCGCCCACGGCGATGCCAGCAGGGCGTAGAAGTTGTGGCGCACGCCGCATCCTCCGCGGCCCAGCGCGGTCGCCGCCGGCGAACTTGTGGGTAGGTGGGGCAAGCGTGCGACAAGCTGGGCGAAGGTTTTTCTGCACACACCCGTGCAGCCCCCGACACGGCAGCACTGCTTGCAAATCACAAAGGGCGCAGTATCAACGTGGCTGCGGCAGGCTCCCGAAGGGCCAGATATGTGGCAGTCTATGGGGCTTTTCTGAACGAGCCCTGCCCATGGGGTTAGTTGATCACCTGCTGCCATGCGAGGCGAGCGCCTGCTGACACACGCTTTCTGCCAGAGTGGCCAGCCACAAGTCTGTGGAACGCATGCTGTACACGAAGGATGGTGTTCCCTCTTATGCTAGTGACAACTGCCACCGGTGGGATCTGGCGGACAAGTTGATTCTGCATCATAGACATGTTTGCACGCTCACGCGCTTTCCACACATCTCGACCTTGTCGTCCCTTGTAACTCGCTGTCTGTGGCCGGTGCTGAGCACGCCGGCTGCGTGGTGAGAGAGACGCTGTGTAAGGGCCTGATTTCGTACATTCGCTCTCGGATTGACCAGCCACGCGAGGTCACTCGGCAGGCAGGCCATCCCGCCTGCAAAGGTGGGCTGTGGGGCTGTGTCAAGTGCCAGCACTTCCGGTCGATTGACTTAGCTATAATCCTGAATATCCTGTGCCAGTGCCCTGTAGCCCTGTGTGAGCCGACCACCAGCACAGCGCTGCCCGCCAGCACTGTCGTTCGGGTACTTGAGAGTCGTCGCACTACTGCACGTACTGGAAAGTCATGTTTCAGTACCTGGAACTTGCCTTGGCCATGTGGTGCTGGACGACAGCGCACACTGTGGCTGCCCTCGTCCCCGAATTGACAAATGGCACAGGCATGGAGAGCAGGCCCCAAGGACTGGCGGCGGCGCTGCTGCTGCTCGCTGTTGCACGGGCCTGCACGGCCGCATCCTCTGATGACTGCATTTTCAGTGAGTCACTCTAGCGCAGCGGGCTGCAGGCCCCCTTTGCCACGCGCTTGCGCTTGCCCCCCCCCCCCCC